GAGACCTGAGGGCCAGTTCCAGTGTGATAGGGAAATCCTGGTAAAGACAGCGCTGTCAATTCTCTGTGCATTCTTTTTTTTTAATTTTTTAAAATTTTGGTAAATATACATATAACAATTCATTAGCCTTTTCAGCATTCTTTGCATGTACAGTTTGGTGACATTAGTTATGTTTATCGTGTTGTTCAACTATTACCATTATCCGTTTCCAGATTTTCGCATTATCCTTAATAGAAGCTTAATGCCTCTAAGTTTCCATGTGTTCTGGACCGGCTGTGAAACTACACACATGTGCAAAGGAGACCTGAGAAGACCTTGGCAGAAATTAAATTACCGAAATGAACTTGAAAACTGCCTGAACTTTGAACACTGTCCCCAACACACACACACACACACACACACACACACACACACACACACACACACCAATCAGCAGACGGTGCAGACTTTACTATGGGCTCAAGGTTTTTGTGCAAAATATTTGCCCAGTCATTGGCTTACCACTAAGCTGTGCATTTGATCTCATATAGATGATGTTTTGAAGGTGCGCAATACACATCGGGAATAGTCTTTATTTTATGAGCCAGCCTGTTATTTTGCTAAAAGGTGACCTCAGGGGTTAGTTTTGGTTCAGGGTTTAAGGAATAACTCAGGACAATAGTCACGGGATTCCTCTCATCTCAACTCTTAAAAAGTCTAGACTTTTTAAGAGCTTGAGTTCTGTTCCATCTAAACTTCTTTTGAAGTGTTTGGTAAAAACATGTGAAGTGACCAAAGAAGACACAGTAATTTACATTTAATCTTAAAACTTCATGTAAAATTTTATTTTGATTCCATAATTGGCCTGTGTTTATTTTCACCCTTCCACTAAGTTGTTGATTAAAACAGTTAATTCATTTTTGTCTTTACTACCAAATCAAATACAAGTTTTATAGGAAAGCATCTTTACAATTTATATTTTGGTTAACATATATATATTTACTTATTTATACACACACACTAGTTGTCTAATTCATCGATTTGTTTCCATAACACTTAATGGCATATTATCAAGTACTGTGCTAGGCACTGGGATTATATTTAAGAAGCCTATCATCACAGTTTAGCAAGGACGATAGATGATAAAAATGAATATGCATAGTGTCATGTGGTAATAATAAGCGCCTTAGTAAAGAGATGTATAAAGTTTAGTGGAAACATAGGTAAGGGAGCAGAAATTTAGAAAAGAGAACAAATGATCTAAAACAAAAATTTTAGCATTAAATAAAGCAGTATTTACTATTAAGAACTCAGTGAGTTCTGTTCACTGAAAGTATAAGTAGCATGATCTTTTTTCTCGAGAAGATTCTACACTGGAAATCCACTAAATTATTAAAATATTTTGATTTTCTCTCTCCTTTCTTTTCTGTATGACCAAAACAAGTAAATGCTGTCCTGAATTATGCAAACAGCAAACACTCAACTGTAACTTTTCAAATATATTTCAAAAGCAGAGGAGAATTCACATAGAACCACAACTATAAAGCTGCAAAAAAAAAAACAAAAACTAAAGGGCTGAATGTAAACACCAGAGTGCTTCATAATATTTTTGATAAAATAGTAAAAATTGTAAAGTACGGCTCGAAGTCTGTCTCCTAATAGCATGTTCTGATATTCTTAGCATTATTGTTAATAATGTGATATATTCTTTTCTGTCAGATAATTATAATTGCATATTGTCTCTGTCTTTAAAATAGGTAGTGTTCCAAATTATTTTTGATGTCACTGGTTTGAATTCAGCGCAGCTTTCACCACAGAAATGTTAGCTTTTGAAGCCATAAGAAGTTAAAACAGAAAAACACGTTAGTTTAAACTGAATTATTTGTACTGGGGTATAAGGAGTGCAGTATAGGATCAAGAAAGAGAAGAAAGTAATAATAACATATGTAGAACCTTAATTGTGAACTATTTGGGAAATAAATTTATTTTGAAGGGTAGGCCTATCTTGACGTTTTCCCAGCTTCATTTCTGTATTCTTTATCCGTTGACAGTGCATCTCTCCACGTGCGTCTAGTGCTCTCATAATCCCATAAACCATCCTACTGAAAAGCTACCAGGGCTGGGGTTTGCCACAATCCCCTGAAGATTTTCCTGCTCCAAGATGTGTATTTTCTTCTTCCCTCTTTATTCTGTTTATACCTTTAGTTTTCTCAGTAGAACTGCGAGTTCAGAGCTAGGTTTGAGAATTGCTGATTTTCTAAATCATAGCAATGTCTGACCCAATAATCCTTTTGGAGGATTATTTGTACGTTTAAAAGAGGATGCATGTTTATCCAGATGACTTTCTATCTCAATGAATTAGTGAGAAGCATTGTGCAATGAAGATAAAGAGAACAGGTTTTGGCATTGGATTGACCTGGACACAACCAAGCCCTTTAATTTGGTAGTTTATAACTTGGAACAGTATACATTGCGTCTGAATGTTTGTTTTCTCTATGAAAAGGGGATATATAGGACAATTCATATGATGCAGAAAAAGGCTAAAGATAAGTTGAAAATACTGAAAACACCATCAATTTCATAATAAGCATGGTAGAGATAGTGAGAGGTTAGAGAACAGAAAGTAAAAAAAATGTAGGCAGCCCAGGAGTTTTTGATGCAGTAGCTAGCCCACAGGTAGCACAACAGCACACCAAGGATGTACTTCTCACACATAGTTCTTTTAAAGTGTTCTTGGGTTTCCCTGCTTTTACCCTTTGTGTCCTACGTTTTGTTATTGCTTTATAGAATTCCTGATTCGAAAACCATGGTTGAAGTTTAAAAGTCTGATCTTTTATTCTGTTTGGCAATCTTTTTTTTTTTACAGCACCCATAAATGATGGTAGTGAACACTCTGCTTAATACATCATACATAAATATATGGAGTAATTTTTATTAAAGGAGCCCTGGTGGCAGAGTGGTTAAGTGCTTGGCTGCTAACTGAAAGGTTGGCAGATTGAACCCATCAGTGGCTCCTGGGAGAAAAGACCTGGTGATATGCTCCTGTAAAGTTTACAGCCTAGGAAACCCTATGGGCCAGGCAGTTCTACTCTGTTATATAGGATGGCTGTGAGTTGGAATTGACTTGACGGTATACAACAACTACAACAAGTTTTATTAAATGCTTTTGTGTACATTATTTTATTTTAGAGTCAAACAGATAGGAAAGCAATGTTACAGATGTTTCATTTCCATTTTGCAGATGACAAAACTGAATCTTAGAGAAATTTTGCCCATCTTGGGTCATTCAACTTGTTGGATTGGATTTCAGCTGTGCTAGCTCTTTTGAATGTCCATTGGCTGAAACATTTCAGTAATGACAGTTCTAAATAAATCCCCACCCCCCCCAAAAAAAGAAAAACATAAACAAAAAAGAGTTGCCATTGAGTTGATTCCAACTCGAGGCGACCACATGTGTTGCATAGTAGAACTGCGCTACATAGGGTTTTCAAGGCTATGATCTTTCAGAAACTGTTTGCCAAGGCTTTTGTTCGGGGCACCTCTGGGTGGCTTCAGACTACCAACCTTTTGGCTAGTAGTCGAGTGCTTAACCATTTGTGCCACCCAAGACTTCAGTTTTAAATAAAACGAAAAAACCAAACCCCTTGGCTTTCAAATCGATTCCAACTCATAGTGACCCTATAGAACAGAGTAGAACTGCCCCGTAGGATTTCCAAGGAGCACCTGGTGGGTTCGAATTGTTGACCTTTTGGTTAGCAGCCGTAGCTCTTAACCACTATGCCACCAGGGTTTTAAATAAAGTTATCTATAAATTAAAATAAGTTATCCTGCTATAAGTATATTTCTGTCCTATGTATCTTACGGTGATTTTGTGGAAAAACTGCTCGGACAACTTTTTTTTTTTTTGGTACTTTAGGTGAAGGTTTACAGAACAAATAGTTTGTCATTAAACAGTCAGTACACATATCGTTTTATGACATTGGTTAACAACCCCATGACATGTCAACACCCTCCCTTCTCGACCTTGGAGGACCTTTTTATTTTGGCGAAAATATACATAGCCAAAGATACACCATTTCAAAAATTTCTACATGTACAATTCAGGGACATCGATTACGTTCTTCCAGTTGTGCTATTTTCACTGTCCTTTTCCAAATTATTCCATCACCGTTATCTTCAACTCCTTGTCCCCTGGCTTCCCATCAAACCTTTTGAGTTGCTGTTGTCAATTTGATCTCACATAAGTAATTCTTTTTGTTGTTGTTGTTACTTTAGATGAAGGTGTGCAGAACAAAATAGTTTCTCATCAAACAGTTAGTACACATATTGCCCCATGACAATGGTTAATAACCCTAAGACCTGTCAACACTGTCCTTACTCAACCCTGGTTTCCCTATCACCAGCTTTCCTATCCCCTCCTGCCTTCTAGTCCTTGTCCCTGGGCTGCTGTGCCTCATTAGTCCCGTTTTGTTTTATGGGGCTGTCCAATCCTCGGCTGAACGGTGAACCTCGGGAGTGAATTCACCACTGAGCTAAAAGGGTGCCTGGGGGCCATATTCTCGGGTTTCTCCAGTCTCTGTCAGGCCAGTAAATCTGGTCTTTTTTTGTGTAAGACTGTTTTTAAGGTAATGCTGCTGAAAACAGTTAATGTGTATGTGTAAATGAGAAAGTAAAGCCCATGTATTACAAAAGCTTTATTTTATTGCACAAATGAAAATAGTCCCTTGATTAGTTGTCACATTCTATATTTGTAAAACTTGTCATTATTTATGAATCCATTGCTTAAATTTGTCATTTTTCTTTGGATTTGCTCAAAAAGAACCACTTAATTTCTGATTGTGACTAGGTTATGTGGAAAATATTTTGTTGGAGTAAATTTAAAATGATTGGACAACAACAATAACAAAAATACTTTTTGACAGCTCTTCAGTTGAATATAGACATGAATCATATTGTTTGAAAATGCCCTATTAAAATAATTTACTATGTAAGTTTATTTTTCTTTCTTTCTTATTTTAAAGGTTTCAGCAGAGCAGCTTTACCATTTGGGTTAGTTAGGCGAGAACTGTCCTGCGAAGGTTATTCTATAGACCTGCGATGTCCAGGAAGTGATGTCATCATGATTGAAAGCGCTAACTATGGTCGGACAGATGACAAGATTTGTGATGCTGACCCATTTCAGATGGAGAATACAGACTGCTACCTCCCAGATGCCTTTAAAATTATGACACAAAGGTAAATATTCATGTACTAATATTCCATTTTAGCTACTACATCCGTATTAGTAAAATAATTATAATAATTCTGAAGTGGATGGATACAGCCCATGTCTCAGCCTGTTTACTAATCTGAGGGTTTTACGTACTAATGTTGATGTCTACTTTATGTTATAAAGTTATTATTATTCAAATCTACATCATTTTTGTATACATGGACATATGTATCAGAAAGCATGTATCTTTTGGATTTCGGTATCAAAGAGTGAAAATACTGTTTCAAATGTGATTTTGTGTTTTAGAGCTTCAAAATTCTAAAATATTTTCTCTAATATCAAGAATCTTTACATGTCTAGGTATATGGCAATAATTGCTCTTTTTAACTTTAAAAAAACAAAACAAAAACAAACTCAAGAAAGCATATAGCTAAGCATAGAATCCCTTGTTTCCCTTAAGAGACTGTAGATAAATCCTTTTTGCAGATTAAACCTCTGTTTACTAGCAGATTTTGCTTTACTCTGTTCATGACACTACCTTGTTGGAAAAGTATTATTAGCTGAGAGAGAATCATCAGTATAACAGATGTGTTAAGGCAAGAGGGAAAGTGTGTTTCTGAATAGTAAATGAGACATTCCTCTTCAAATACTGTATAGTTGGGATTAGGTTCTACACTTTATAATCCAAACCATTCTTTTCCTTTTATTTCCCTGTATATTGTTCAAGATGTTTCTAAAGATAAAGCAAGGGGTGAATTTTCTTTAAAAATTTAGATTGGATAAATTTTTTGTGTACAATGAGGAGGATTCAAGTTAGGATGAGATAGAATTTGACTACATTGTTTGTCTGAAGCACTGTAGTAGTTTCTGCAGAGTACTTTCAGAGTTGGCTATAAATTTATATTTAGCTACTTCAATAAGATTGAACCCCAGTTCATTAACTGCAAAAGTTGAGCAATATTATCCATACATTGGTTTGTGTACTAGATATGGTAATGTATTGGAAAGTTCATTGTAAGTTGTGAAACTATGTAAAAGGTACGTTTAAAATAATTCAAAGGAGCCCTGGTGGCACAACAGTTGAGTGCTCAGCTGCTAACCAAAATGTTCATAGTTTGAACTCACCTAGCAGCTCCATGGGAGAAAGACCTGACAATCTGCTTCCATAAGGATTACAGCCTAGAAAACACTATAGGGCAGTTCTACTCTGACACGTGGGGGTGCTGTGAGTTGAAGCAGCAGCTAACTTATAACAGCAATAAAATAATTAGGGACAAAATATGATGAGTGACCCATGAGAAGTGCTACATAGTCTTCAAAGAGAAAAAGTGACATCATACTTGGTTCTGGAAAAAAATTTTGTAAACGAGGCTGGTAGGCTTCATTTATTAGTTCATTCATTCATTCATTCATTCATTCTGTAGGTGTCTAGTATGTGCAAATAGTATACTTCTCTGAAATACTTGACTCATTTGCTGTAATTGGTAATTGGTTTAAGCTCCTGCCATTCCCTGAGAGACTTTAAGGTATAGCATGTCTGCCTTATTCACTGTTAAATCACCAGGATCTGGCAGGGCACTTGGCAAATAGAAGGTGTCCAGTAAATATTTCTTGATTGACTGAAAAATTTACCAGTAGATCTTGACAAAGAGCTTATGGTCTAATAGTAAATCAGGGTATTTGGTTGGGGTGTTTTGTGAATGTTTTGTGTGTAATTGGGATTTCTTTCTATATCAGTAACTTGTGCCCCAACAGATATCTTGGATCCCATATTTTTTCACTTCTCCCCATTTCATTTTCAAACAACTAAAATCTCTGTCTGCACATGGAACAAGACTGGCTTAGACTAAAGAATACACACTTTTTCAAATTATTGTGATTGTTTCCCTGCCAAAGAGAGTGAATGAATGAATTTAAAAGCTCTCTCTCAACTAAGACCCCCAAATACTGAACTAGACAGTTACCTCTCCACATACAATATAAAAAACTGGTGACCACAGGTAACACTTTCCTCTCTCCTAAATAGAGAGCACCTAACTCCTCACATCTTAATTTGAATTTTCTTATATATATTTCAAATGATGTAGTTATTGTAGTACAATAACATCTCACTTCTCCAGAATTTCTTTATCTACCAATCTCAGTTATAATCAATATCAGTCAAACTCAGAGACCTTCTGCAGAGACATTTATGTATCACAGAGTTTACTGTACATTATAGCTTTTATATTTTGTTTCATAGGAATACCCTTCATCTTTCTAGTCAACTCTCCCATCCCCTTAGACTAAATAATACATACTTTTACACCCCCTCCCTTTTGTTCCCATTCTGTACACCATATTCTGACTCGGCTTTCTAACTTATTTACTAGCTTAAAGTAGAATAGCAAATTTTATAGACAGGGGCCGCTATAAGCACAGTGCAGACGTCAAAAGATGATACGAAGCAGTGAAGGAAAACATGGAAAAACTATTTTAAAACTGGCTATAGAAACTCTATTTATTAATTGTTGTAGTATACTGATGGCTTATAATTATTTAAAAAGCACAATGACAGTTTAAATATGAACACTTGATTGAAAACGATGACAATGTTAAGATGACTTAAAAATGAATTTCCTGGTGAAAGCTTTTAAGTACCCCATTCTTAATATCCTTTATATTCTGCCAACCATTTTTTAATTATCTTCAGCACCTAACAACAACTGAAACAGATTCTGCCGTATTTGACTGGCACGTAGTTACAAAGAGCTATGAGAAAATAGGTAGGCAATATTTTTGCATCTGAATTATTACTGAATAATTATTGGGTAGATAGACTACCTTGTCACTGTCGGTGTGTGTGTGATTTTTTTAATCTAAAACTAGTCCTTCAGTATTTGCAAAAAAAAAAAATCAAGAGTTATTTTTACCAAACTTGTAACAATTTGGCAATTTTCTTTTCATTCCTAATCCTCAAAAGAATGTGGTATTCAATAAAGTAGAAAGGATATATGTGGGTGTTTTTTTTTTTCTCCTTTAATGTAGAGAAGTCTATCTTTGGAAAGCACAAATAAAAGTGTTAGATTCTAAATTAAATTTGAAAGCCCTCTTTCTTTACATATAAAAAACCAAACCCCTTGCCCTGGAGTCTTTCCCACAACCCTACAGGACAGAGTAGAACTGCCCCATAGAGTTTCCGAGGACCAGCTAGTGGAGTTGAACTGCCAACTTTTGGTTAGCAGCTGAGCTCTCACCCACTGTGCCACCAGGGCTCCTTCTTTATGTATAGGCACAGAAATGTTAGTACCATTAAAACATTTTTATGTTACATCTCAAGGCTTTTCACTGTCTCTTCCAGTTGTCATGACTTTAGCAGTTGAGACTCGAGTAAACAAATAGACTTGTAACTCACTGTGGTGGTGGTAAAAGTATTAATTGTTACTCGTTCTCCATTTTCTATTTCCTGCTCTTTTAAAAGTGTGAAAGCAAATTCTCTTAGTAGCTGATAGTATATTTGTCTTATAAGTATACTGAAGGCTTATCCTAAAAAGTGAGAAATGAAATTCTTTCCTAAAATGATGTGTTATTTTATAGTATTTTATGGAATAATCATCACTCTTTAAAAAGAATTGTAGTCAGGCATCTTAAAACTACAAAACGTTGTAACACTTTGAGTTCATTAAAACCAAAGCTCTACTACTCTGAAGTAGTTGATGAATTAGAATTTTGCCAACTATATTGGTTCTTTGCAGTCCCCAGGACAGTCTAGTTGGTGTCTTAAAGTGATGTTGTGCTAAATTGTACCTGAGATCCTGTTCCTTATATTTGCTTCCGATGTTGTTTATAACTGTCCCCTTATTCATGTTCTGTACTCTAAGAGTCAACCCGTTTTCATCAAGATAGTTTTCTGCTTGAGATTATGCTTTCAGCACTTTGGCTAAAATAATTAAATATGTAAATATTTACTTTTTTTCCCTAAATAACAAACAGGAGGTTATTGCGCATGGTTGGTCCTATTTTACAGAGTCTTAATTCAGAATATATGTGCAGCAGTATGCCTCTATAAGTACAAAAAGATACTAAAAGTAATGTAAACTACTCCCAAGTAGATAGTGACAACTATATAGTTATATAGTTCTCTTTTAGTTATTCCCTGGGGTAGAAAAAGTGTATTTTGTTTAATTGATTGAAAACCCCCCCCCCCAATAATTAGTTTTGGTAATGAAATTTCCCAAGGAAAGTGTAGTTGTGCCCTAGACTTAGGAAACTAGTCTACATGCTTCAAAGCTTTTAGCCAAAAATGTTTGCCACTTTTATAGCCCACTTACAGCCCATTTATAGGTGGGTAGGACCTCATAGCATAACTATGTTAGGTTTCTTATTTTATTGAATACAATTCAGTTTCTTTGTGTTTGTCATAGTCCTATTTAACCTCCTTTAAGTGTATTTGGGAAAAAGGTAGCATATAAATTAATAGTTCAGCAAGTGATTGTTTATACAGCTTTGGCACTCATAAGAGTGGTCAAAGAAAAACATAGATGAAGCAAACATAAAGTAGATAGTTGTGTGGAAATAGATGATATTACTCACAAAGATTATGTAGTGTGAGCATGCAAAAGCCCTAGAGAAACATCTTCATTTAAGGGGAGAGGTAAATTTGCCATCAAGGAAACCAGAGTAGGTATAAAAAAGATAATGTTTTCAAGCCAGTAATGAAAGTAATACATTATTTTTCTCATTTATGTTGAAGATTTTTATTCTATTTAGACAACTCAAATAAAAGAACACATTAAGATTTTCAAGATACAAAAATTTCAGGATAGAACTGAGGAAGATAGCATTAAGCCCTGAAGACTTCTGGACCAGCGTGGAACCACTTAGTGAATAAATACATGATTAGAATTTAAAAAGTAGGAGTACCGTTCAGGGATTTTTATTTTAAGGGGAAGGAAAAAAATCTGATTTGTAGAATTTGGGTACGATTTAATTAAATGGAGCTAGGTAAATGACAAAGTTGATTTCAGAACCTAGGTCTTCTCTG